TATACCAAACAAAGTACTACAAATACACAAAGTTAATGCATACATTATTTTTGCTAATACACTCTACCAAACGACATCAATCTGTTTTTGGGGAGTAACATAAGCAACGGTTGCTCAGACAACAAGATCGTATAAGATCACAATTCACCTAAGCCAATCATCTATAGAGAACAAAAAATGTGAATTAGACACAGACAAAATTCTCCTAAACTAGTTTTCTAAAAATATTTTTGATAAAAGTACACTTTTAAAAAATTTAATCAACTACGACCAATATAACCAAGGGAAGTGCTAAATAACCAGAAAATTTGGCCAGAAAATTTAAAAACTATAATATTTTTTTTATTTTAAAACAAACTGATTTTTTTTCTATTTATTAGTTAAAAGATATTAAAGTTAAAAGGATAAAAATATTTTAAAAAGTAAAATAACATAGATAAAATATCATTCTGGCCAAATTCTAACCAAATTTTCTGGCCAAAAAGATTTTTCCTATAACAAAACTAAAATAGAAAAGTTATAAATAACCTACCAAATCAATTCACTATGTCGTGAAATCAGAGAAGTACCAACATAGGTAATAGTAATGTCTTAATAATCAAAGACTTAAATTTCATGTGTAATGTAACCTTATTTATGGTAACTACATTTTTATTACAAGACTTTTTGATTTTGAGAAATAATAAAACGAAAGAGGTATTGAAAACACTTCTAAATTAAAGTAAATTATTAGTTTTATTCTGAAATTAATGACCTTAAAAATCTTTCTTCTACTTGACTAACTAAATTTAGACATGCCTTCGATTTGCCACATATTATAACAAGTGGTGTCAAACTCTTATGTTGTAGAAACATATTGAAACTCTTAATAAAAAATCGAGAGAAGTGTTGAAAATATCTCTAAACGTGACAAAAATTCAGTGGTGTGTTTCAGTCATGTTGCAAAATCGAAAGCGTATTTTAATTCAATTAGTCAAGTAAAAGGACATTTTTAAAACTATCAATAGTAATATATATACATTGATTAAAATTAACTTCACTGACTGTAGAGGCATATGCATGAGGGGATCACTGGGTTCACGTGAACCCATGCTCCCCTTCTAAAATCATATATAGTAGTGTTATACTATATAGACATGTGAATCCACAATCGAAGTAGATGATGATTGGGTGCATCTCTCAGTGAGATTAGAATTTGAATTTTATATCTATTTTGTATTATTTATTTTTTCCTAAAATTGGGTAACACCTCTCTAAGTGGTTATTGATAACATTTTTTAACGTTTTAATCAATTAAGCATTTCAATTTTGGACCTATAATTTTCAATGATACATTTAAATGTCAAACCAATAATTTATATTTTCATAATAATGCACTAATCATCTCAAAATCCTGAATACGCCTCTAATCGTATGCCTTTAATTAAGACAACCTTCTACCAAAATGTCCAAGTGAACTAAAATAAAAATAAAAATATACAATGCATTAAAAAGTGGATATTTTGTACGTGTCACTTCTATGAAGAGTTCTACATTTTTTAGTTTCTCTTCGCCGGTCGAGTGTCAAAAAATATAGCTGGAGGGTACTATAGTCATTTCCTTAATTCTGTTGTTTTATATTCCTACAAACTAAACAACTATCACCGTTCTGTTATTTATTTACATTTATTTTTGGACTCACCACCAACAAACAAACACCGTTCTGTTACAAATTCAGCTTTGAACGGACATACCATTATCACGCGTTTGAATCTCACGCTCTCTAATTTCATTTTTAAAAGTTTTTTTTTGTCTAAAATAATTAATTTCACCCTTCAATTTTTTAGTGTTTGATTTGTAGTTTAAAGTTTATTAGTTAACATTACAAGCAGTACAATTTATTTATTTTATGAATATTTGTTAATGTAATTGTTTCATGATTGTTATTTTAATATTATATATGTATCAAATATTTATGTATGTACATAAGTGCTTTTTGGGTATATTTTTAAGTTTCACTTCTATTGGTTATATATATAGATAAATGAATTTTAATTGTCATTGATGAAATAATTTAGAATTTATTTATTACATAAATAAATAATATTTTTAGAAATTTATAATAAAATATGTTTGTGTCAATTATTTGGCTGATTTTGACTTTGTTAGAAAGTTTTTTAAAAAATACAGAATATTTTGTGATTTTAACTAAAGATTCACAAAATATATCATATTTTTTATCTTGTGGTCTTAAACATGTCATATGGAAGTAAAAGTTTGGAATTGTAAAAAAAGTGAGAAGAAAGAACTAGTCTTTTAAAAATGGACTAAAAAGGAAAAGTAAGACATAATATATCTATGTTTTTATTAATTATATTTTTATATTACAATGTTTCTAAAGTTTTGATTATTAGTAATAAAGTTAAATAAGAAAATATGAAAAACATAACAATAAGTCCTACGCTTTTTCTTGATATATATTTCAAGCATTATTAGCATGATTTTGTCTCTATAATCAGTTGTTGTCGTAAAGAAATAATCAAAGAATCACTTTCATTACACTATAATTTACTAAATTTTATTTTGGGAAAAAGGAAAAATATATCCCCGAATTATCATAAATGATATGTCAATACCCTTCGTTATACTTTAAGATTATTCATACCCCTTCCGTCAATTTTTTGGGTTGTATTTACCCTTATAACAAACGGAAGGCCACGTGTCATTATCTAAACGGTCTATCCAAAATCAATTTAATTTTTACCCACAAATTAATAAAACCCACCCATTTACCCATAATCTAACCCACCCACGACCCACATAACTTAAACCCTCAATTCTTCCATAAATTAATTTTTTTCCGTCCAGCAATAGTTCTCCGGTAGGAGCTTAGCTGGTCCTAATCTGCTCCAACTTGCACCTTGTTAGCACATTATAAGCAATTACATTCACTAATTTCTGGTCATGGTAGCCATGGACATACCCACCGTCGCCGATAAAGAACACGACAATCTTGGTGGTTGTAATAGGTGTTTGTTTTTGTGTTCCGTAGATTTATTTTCAGTCTTCGCTGCTTTTTCAGTTGTTCTTTACGAATCTCTTATTTGGATGGTTTAATTTGTGTTCTCTCTGATAACCCATTTAAGATCTATCAATTTTTTTCTCTTTGGTTTAAACCATCTGAGAACTTTTGTTCTCTCTGGTGAACCATATGAGAACTTGTGTTACCGTGGTAAACCATTTGAGAAATCCGATCTGAGAACCATATGTCTGTTAGTATAAAGGGTATAAACGCTCCACAATTTGGACGGCAGGGACACTGATGTCCTAATAGTATAACGATTGGTATACGCGTACCATTTATGATAGTTGGGGGACATATTTGTCCCTTTTCCCTTTTATTTTATCTCTATAATCAGTTGATGTCTTAAAGAAATAATCAAAGAATCACCCTCCTTAATTTTAAATTCACTATCATTTACTAAATTTATGATTAAAAACAAATATTGGGCATCTCCTTATCACCGTCAAGCTAAATTCATATCTCTTATCTCTCATGGGAACGTTTCAGTTCATAATCTATACAAAATAGAATATATATAATGATGTTTTTTTATTACTTATTATTATCGAGTCCTATTAGTCTCTCTAAAACTCTTCTTAAGCTTCTCTTTCTCATTTTGTTAAGCGTGGAGTCATTAACCTAAAAATGTCACCTCTTTCTGTTAAGCGTGGAGTCATTAACCTAAACATGTCACCTCTTTCTAGATTATACTAGAATGATATGTTTATTTTTGGACATACCTAGAGAAATTATAATTTCTTTTGCTATTTCAAGCTTAGGCCTCAACTTATAAAAAGTAGAATAAGTTAAAAACTGATTAATTGATTGAGCAATACTAAATTAATAGAAAAAATTGAAGCACACAAGATTAACTCTTTACTCTATTTTAAGTGCACTTTTAACTTTTATCTAAATAAAAGAATCTTCATAAATAATTCCTTTATAAACGCAACTACATTAACTAAAATCATGTTTCATTATTAATTAAAAAATAATTAAAAGTTATAAAATAAACACATGATAAACAATTCTCTCTATAAAAAGAATATCATGTTAGAAATGAAAGCATGACTTTTAGGTTATATTTTCTTGTACCTTTTATTATTACTGTAGTAAATTACATATCTAGAAAGATAAAATTAAGATTTTATAATCTAAAAAATACCTTATAATATTAGATGAAATGTAGTTATAAAATCATGGATTTAAAAAACTATTTTGCCTTGCCATCTCTTTTTACGAAATAAAATTGTAATGCTGATAATTGCAATTAAAAGTTACTAAAAAAATTACAGCAAGAAAAACATTATTTGACTTCCAATAGCAATAGTATTGTGCAAGACAATGATTAAAAAAAAAAGGAGTCATTTAAAAAAAAGTAATACCTAAAAATCCTCCTACATTATTTACAATTTACTAATTTACTATTAAATTTATAAATGTTATTATTACTCATTAGTTACTTTATTCTCTTCATCTACAATATAATGTCATCTATCTTAAAAATGACTTTATTCTCTTTATAACGTTTAAAAATTACAAAATACTACTCCATAATAACACCTATTTAATATTCTTACACTTACTTTTTATGTTATAATTATGAGCTTTAACTAGTTTACCTTAATAGTAAAAGATGTAGACATTTGAAGGAAAAAAAAACAAGTAAGAATAACTGTAAAATAGTTATTTTATTCCGATAATTTTGCATAAGCAGTGAACTCCACGCGACTCTATCTCACGTGAACACAGTTACCGAAATACAAGTACAAAAGATGCATTCAAATTGTCGTGTCCATTTTTGTAATTATTACGAAAAACAAAGGTAAATTTATAAATACACTCTTCTCTCTCCGACCCCTCAACGGCACCCCGACCACTCTCTTACCTATACATTACAACATATACATAATCTTTCAGTTTCCTCTTTCTGTAATTTTTCTCTCTTCAATCTACACACACTCGTTTCCCAATGCAGGCTCCAACCGCCGCCGATCGTGAAGTGGACCCTATAGTCTGGCGAGCAATCGCCGGAAAATCTGTCCAAATACCTCTCGTCGGTTCCAGGGTTTACTACTTCCCTCAAGGACACGCTGAACATGCAACTTTTACTTCACCTAGTGTACTGTCCCCTGGTATACCTGCGTTTATTCTATGCCGTGTACTATTTGTTCGTTTTCTCGCTGAATCCGATACGGACGAGGCATTCGCTAAGATTTTTCTGCATCCGATTAGTCTGAGTGAGGTTGATGAAGTTACTGTGAGTGAGGAGGAGGAGGTTGAGGATAAAATCGTTTCGTTTGTGAAGATTTTAACTCCGTCAGATGCGAACAATGGATGAGGTTTCTCTATGCCGCGATTCTGTGCTGATTCTATATTTCCTCGACTTAATTTTGAGGCAGAACCGCCGGTTCAAAATTTGTCTATTAGGGATATTAGAGGTGGTGTTTGGGAGTTTCGACACATTTATCTTGGAACACCTCGACGGCATTTGCTTACTACTGGTTGGAGCAAGTTTGTTAACAGTAAACAGCTTGTCACTGGTGATTCCGCCGTGTTCATGCGGAGAACTACAAATGATCAACTCTATGTGGGTGTCCGACGAGCTATTAAACGAAATGACAATTCCCAGAAGTGGACTTCCTCTTTTTTGATGCATGAACATATAAATAGTGGTGGTAGCCCGGATGTGTCTTGGGGGATTAGAAAGGGGCGGATGACAATGGAAGCTGTTGCGGCGGTAGCGGAAATGGCGGCACGGGGAGTGTCATTTGAAGTATCGTGTTATCCACGGGATGACTGGGCAGATTTTGTGGTGAAGGCACAAGCGGTAGAGATGGCATTGAATATACCTTGGACAGTTGGTACGAGGGTTAAGATGGTTGTGGAAACGGAGGATTCATCTAGAACGGCTTGCTTTCAAGGGACTGTTTCATCTGTCATTTTGACTGAAAGTGACCCTTGGCGTGGATCTCCATGGCGAATGCTTCAGGTGATTATGATTATGTAGCTTTCTGTTGATGTATTTATATTTCTATGTCTATTAATTAGAGTCATTTGAACAGTAGACTACTTAAAATTGTTGTCATTTGAGCATGGGACTGTTTATGGTACTGCATTGGGTTTTTCCTTTTTCCTGATTAAAGTTGTTGTCCTATCTGATTTCATGGAACATTGTTAGAATTGTCAGACATAGTTGTTGCAAATATGTTGCTCCTACTAATGCTTTCAGACCTTTCTCAAAAATCTACAGATGATAAGCCGATATGTTACGAGCATTTTCTATTTTACTTTATATAGTTCAGGAAGTAGAAAACTTGTTTGTGGCATGTTACAGGATAGTGAGTTTAAATACTAATCTTTCTGATTCGTGATATGGTGGTGGTAACTTTGGAAATGTGTTGAAGGACCGACAAGTGCGGGTCGCAACTATGTTATGTTGGTATCAGTTGATAGTAATATATCTATGCTCCTACTAATGCTTTGAGACCTTTCTAAAAAATCTACAGATGATAAGCCGTTATGTTACGTGCATTTTCTATTTTACCTTATATAGTTCAGGAAGTAGAAAACTTGTCTGTGGCATGTTACAAGATAGTGAGTTTAAATACTAATCGTTCTGATTCGTGATATGGTGGTGGTAACTTTGGAAATGTGTTGAAGGACCGACAAGTGCGGGTTGCAACAGAGTTAGTTGTGGGACAGAGGACTGCTCTCGAACAACTTTAATTGTAGACTAGTTATAGTTGTTGTCATTTGAGCATGGATTTCTTCATTCTGCCCTTTAAGATGTAATTGTCACTGGTAGTATATTTTTTTTCTCTAACTAAAACTACTATCTGTTTCTGATCTCAAGGGACGCCATCATTTTCACATTTAGTCCTCTTCAATATGTTGTGATAGTTAATAAATCTATTTTCTGCGGATTGCAGTTCATAGCAATAAATAAAACATGACTGTAATAATGCTTTGACTTATTGGTACTATTCTCATTAATCTGCAAAAGCTAGTATCTTCTTTTATGTTAAGTGCATTGTTTGTCTACCTTTGTTAATTCAGGAAGTAGAAAGATTTGTCTGTAGCATGTTAACATGTAGTTTGCTACAATTATTAAATCTTCAAATTCAGTTGTCATTTGGAGAACCCATCGCTTAAGTTTGGGTCTTTACTCAATTGTCCCTATTGTCTTATGTGGCAGTCTAGTAGTCCTCCAAGTATGTAAAACTGATGCACTTTTGGTTCTGCACAAAGGTTTCATGAATTCATCTAGAACTCAAAACTACTTGAGAAGCTCGCCCAAATAATAACCCACATGTTTCCATGATCCAATTAGCTTTGATCCCAAATAAGTGAGTGCTTTTTTGAGAAAATTGCTTTCATGCTAACTTAAGGCTGCTAATAGCAGGATGAATGTGAGAGGGGGAAAATGTGCTCTAATCCACCTTGTAGTGTCTTTTCATGGGGTTCTTTTCAATGAAGTGTCTGCTAATGGGGTTAAACCAAAGGGAAGTCTCGAGGGTTTGATCTTTCCTTTTTAGAAAGTAGACTATGTATTAAAAATGTAGCAACTTAGCACTAAGTTGGTGTTAAGGCAGTACAAGAGTCAATCATCTTTCTGTACCAAAACACAAAGAAAAAGGATTTTTGCAATAAAGGTCCTATTCTTGTAAAGATTGTCTGAAATCTAACATACTATCTTCATCCTTTACATCCTATAGATTACACCAAAAATCCAAAAGCCATAAGCATTGGTATTTAAGTTGTTGTGCACTAACTTTCTTCCCTTTAAAGCATCTCACGTTTCTTTCCTTCCATATATTCTAGCATATACATGCAGGCATCGAGTCTTCTTTTAATGGTTTCAAAACCCTAAGCAGTCATTTGGTTAGTGAAAAGTTATACTAAGATTATAATGTGAAGGCTATAGTACCGGGATTATGTAATAAAGAGATTATTTAATGGCTATACTTTTTCATGTAGATGTTTGGTTCATTAAATTAGAAATGGGATATATGAGATATAATACAAAACAATTTGTTTTTTTTTACATTAGATAAATTTGGATAAATTTTATGTTCAATTTTAATCTTGGCGTTCTTAAATGACTTTGGTATAACCTTCTTTAAAATGACATTAGGAGAGCACCCAAGGGTGTGGCCTAGTGGTCAATGAAGTAGTTGAGAGCCATGAGGTCTCGGGTTTAAATTCCAACGGAGACAAAAACACTAGGTGATTCTTCTCCTCTGTCCTAGCCTTGGTGGACAGAGTTATCTGGTACGTGTTGCTGATGGAAGGTGATAGGAATTAGTCAAGGTGCATGAAAGTTGGCACGGAAACCACAATCATAAAAAAATGACATTAGGAGAAGAACTTTCAAGAAGGGCATTTTGCCATTTGGTTATATTACTGCGGGATTTGCTAATTTGACAATTGTTATCCCACACCGAATGCAGTATAAAAAAAATACGACTACTACGGTATAACTAATCGAGATTACATATGTCAGGATCAAAAATTTCAACCAAACATGCGATAAAATAATCTCACTTTTCATCCCTGCATTATTATCCTAACCTTCAATCAAACGACTCCTTAACATCCTTGGGTTAGAATACGAAAGCCAATAAGAAATATTCATATATAACTAGGGTTGTTCAATAATTTTATTCGGCAAATCTAGATTGGTTGAGCCAAGGATGAGATGGTTACACCAAAAAGAAAAGAAAAGAAAAGAAAAGAAAGAAGACCAAAAGAATAATTTTACTTGGGTTGTCTCATCAAAGTTCCTTTGATGCCATTGCGAATACAATTAGAGCCCATTCGGATTGGCTGAATTTAATTAGCTTTTAAGCTTCAACTACTGAAAACACATTTTAAGTGTTGGAGCATAATTATATTGGTGTTTAAAAATAATTATTTTATTTATGATGTAAAGTTAACAAATTAATCAAAGTAAAAGAATTGTTAAGCTAAAATAAGTAAAAAACAATAAGTTGGACAATCCCAAGTTATTGCTTTTGGCTGAAGAGCCCTTAACTTAAAAGCTACTCTGAATTTTGCCAAACACTCCAAAAAAATGAAAAGAACTGAGAAAGCTCTCAGTCCTCTAGTGGCTTGTAACCTATTTTTGTGGCATGTAATGTACATTGTTTTGGCAGGATAGAAATGAACTTAAGAGTACAAATATTTTGTTCTTGAGCTTCTAATATGATTATTGACATTGGTTTGGTCAGGTCTTTATCGCCGTTGAGCATTAAGACACATACTTAGCCTTATGCTCTTTCCAACCATTCCAGAACCCTAGTTTTGTTGACATTATCCAGCTCGATATAGAATAAGCAGTCATCATAAGTGTAATACCAAACGTAGGAGTGGAAAAATCAAACCCAACCCGTTTAAGTAACCCACCCATTTATTAGCTGAACCCATTTCAACCCATTAAAAATTAGGTTGATATGGACCCAAATTGAATAAAGAGAAATCTCGTCAAAATGTTTGTACAAGCTTTTTAAATCATTTGATATGTTATATATGGCCATAATAAAGAATTTATTTTTTGTTAGGTACTAAAATATTTTAAAAAAACAAACAAAACAATTAGGGTCTTGATCTGTTCTATGACTCATTACCCAACCCGTTTTCACCCAAGCAAATTTGGATTGGGTTTGGTCTTGACCCATTATGACCCATCCAAATTTGACCAACCCGCCCAATTGTCACCCCTTACCAGGCGTGAGTTGGAGGTGAAGCTTACGTGGAGTAATATTATGAAGACGATGTCGTTAGTAGCTTTATCTTTGTGTAAAGCAAGACACTTGTAAAATGATATTGCTATTGTTACCGAAGGAAAGCATAAACTATCTAGGAAAGCCAAACTAAAATATCAATGAAGGTCACGATTTGAGAAAGTAATGGATATGTAGGATTGCAACCTTACTTTAAGTCTAATTCAATGCATTGCCTAATCTCTCACCTATTGTTTTTAAGACAATGGCATTACTTATGGATTCTTAATTTCCCCTTTAGTTTTACTAATTAACTAGATCTTAATTACCCATTAATATCCCGATAAAACGGGATGCTATCCTTGTTAACTCCCTCGAGTTCAACCAAAACACATTAATTTTATCTAATTAAGTGAAGGCCCTATACGTAGTCTTAATCATGGTAGTTTAGGCTATATTAATTTAATTAATCCAATTCCTTGTTGTCTTGTTGATTAATCTTGACCCAATATTAAATTTCTTCTTCCGAGTTCAAACCAAAGTAAATGAGTTTTTTCAAGAGTTGATTGGAATCAAAGAATCAATACAATACATAATTAATCAAATAACAATTAAAGCAAACATAATTGGTAAGAAATAAATTGCAAGTATAGGAGAGGGTAGAGTGTAGGTAGACCTTACCCCTATCTCGTGTAGGTAGAATGGTTTTTTCCGGAAGACTCTCGACCCAAGTAATGCATACCAAGGTATTTTGAAAAGGAAAATAGAAAACAAAGAAGACATAGCAAATAGTAGGGAAAGCATTACATAACATTAAAAAAAATGGAATAGCAACAATAATAGAATGATGCGATGTTCAAAAAAAGGAACAACAGGTTGTAACAAAAATCGAAGGACAAGAAACTACGAGAACAGGCTATTACGACTGGTATGAAACAAAAAATAGTAGGTGATTTTTCCCATCTGTCCTAGCCTTGGCTTGGTGGATAGTTATCTGGTACGTGTTGTTGGGGAGGTGGCAGGTATCCCGTGGAATTAGTTGAGGTGCGCGAATGTTGGCCCGGAGCCCCGGACACCACGGTCATAAAAAAATAAAATTACCACCAAGCCTATCGCACAAGAAATAAATTAAAAATTTTAATAAACAAAGAAGAGTTTGTTCACAACCCTAGTTGTTGAGCTTATAAGACAACCATCTTCCAATCCATACTAATCATCTAAATACTAATATGATAATAACAAGGATGGGATTAATGATAGAGATTTT